ATACTGTGCAGTCGCCATAACATTGTCTTAGCGCAGTGGTTCCTGTCAGGGGTGGTCAGACTCAATACTAGTGACTGAGTAACATTTGAAGGAGTGATATTAAACGTTCTAATGAAATCCCCTCAAATATGTGTTTCCTGTTAAACTGGCCAAGGTTAAAAAATTGAAACAAAACCATTAATCCTATTGTTCAATACCCACAATTTAGTTGAAGCCTGAATACATAGTTTGCAAAAGTTAATTGTGGTTTAATTTTTACTGTGATGTGTATTGTATTTGATATCAGGAAAGTTTTGAGAAGATATAAACTTTATCTAATAAAAAATAATTTGCATTGTCAAAAAGTAAACATATATATAAGCAGAATTCATTTGCAAAAACAGATAACTCCATTTTTGTAGATTTTCAGAAAACGTATTTTTTGTTGTTTGCTTGAGATAATATCAATCAAACTGATGTTGAGTGGATTTGACTCAGTAGAAATGACAAAAAATAGAGATAACTTAAGTTTGATTGATATTGTCTCAGGCAGACGATAGAAAAGTGGGTTTTCTGAAGGTTTGTGAAGATGGAGCTTTCTGTTGTTGCAAATAAACTCTTCATATATTTTATTCTAACTATGACCATAGCAGGTCCAAAAGTCCAAAAGTCTTGATGAATATTTTTCAGTTTATTATCCAACAAGAATGATTTTAGTCACTCAATTCAACACATAGGATAAGAGTCAAACATCTGCATCCCAGTCTCTGTAACATCTATCAGCCTGAGGTCAGGATCTTCTCCAGAGACATGCTGGAGCACCAAAACTGTACGACAAACTCAGATGAGAGGAAGGACCAACACTTCCTGTAATGCACCAGGAAATGAAAAAGCTGAATAACCAACTGCAGAGAGCTTAATAGCAGCAAGACATCTGCCTGTCCAACGGGGAAGAACTCCAAGACCTCAAGGAGGTTAAAAGAGACATTTGACTGGAAAGCAGACCTGATGCTGTGACAAAACAGCGGCTGGAGAGTCTCAACCAGCAGCTTAGGAGAGATAAAAAACTTGAGGATGCAGGTGAAGACTGCTAAACCTGTGGCACGCACTCAGATGCTTGATAAAGAAATGCTTTTAGAGGTCGACACAGAAAACAAATGAACTGGAGGCCGTAGAGATTGTGGGGATTGTTGAAACTCTCCAGAAGTAAACAGTGGAGAAGGAAATCGTTTTTGATCTGCATTGTTCATAGACACTATATGAAAGAGCACTTATCTTATCTGAATCTCTGTGTGCTTCTGGACTACACACTAGTGACAGGAAACAAAAAGTCACTTGCATGGGAAATTGAATTAGACTTTGTAGAAATAAAAACTCACATCAGTGTTCATATGAAGTAAAAAGGACTAAACAAATGAATCCATTTTCTATTTGCCATTGAGCGGCTGACTTACGTCTCTCCTGCAGAGCTTGATGCTGCAGATCGCGGCGGGCCTGATTGAACAGGAGAAAAAGGACATCGTCGCTGCCAAGGAGGCCTACATGGCTGAGAAATGTGCCGCTCCCAGCATGAGTGGAGACCAGGCCACCCTCATGGTGAGAGACACTAGTGCTAGCATTTCTTTATCAGCATATCTTTGGTTTGTGACTTGTAGTCTTAGATTACACTTTACTACTTGACTGGAATTATCCTAAACTTAAAACTAAAAAGCTAAGCCAAAGCTTAGCTAAAATACTTATGGAGTCATTCTAAGTGTCTTTCTTTCTATTGCTTGTATCTTTATCTCCATTATGTAAAAATGACTGTCAAAACTTCAGAAATGCTTTCAATCGTCTTCTGTCATTATTCCAGCATATCGTCCATCAGTGAAGGGTTGTTATTAGAATGTAATTACCTGTTTGATTTTGCTACAGGAAACCTGCAAAAAGTTGCATGCCCTCATCGACAGCGTGGATGAGGAGAGGTACGACCTGGAGGCCAAAGTGGGCAAGGCAGACAAAGAGGTACACCTCCTAAAACTTTGTCATCCACCAGAGAGGCCATCAAAATTCATTCTGCATCACGACAATCACCAAACACTACAGTCAGAGTCACAAAGAACAAAATGGTTGCTATGGTGTCAACAGAGTTTTGATCTAAACATAATGGACAGCTTAAAATAACAGAACTGTGGCAAGTTCTCTAAAATGCTTGAAACAAGCTACCTGCTAAGAACCTTGAAAACCTGCATGCAAGTTTGACGAGACATGTCAACTGACCATGACTCATAGTGGATCAATAGGATTTACTGAACTACTAAATTACATAAAATTCTGATTTCAATGTCAGGCTCTGAGGTACAGTGTGACTGAAGCACACCCATGAGGTTCATTTAATATAAATGAATGACACAGCAGCTTCAAATGAAATCACTGCTTCACTGTTGGCTTGACTTCACCTTGAAACTTCTTGGTCTACTTAGATCGATGACCTGAAGATCAAAGTGGTGGACTTGGCCGGAGTGAAAAAGCCCGCTCTCAAGAAAGTGCGTATGTCCGCTGACGCCATGCTGAAGGCTCTGCTGGGCTCCAAACACACAGTCAACATGGACCTGAGGGCCAACCTGAAGCAGGTCAAGAAGGAGGTGAAAGAGGAGGTGAGTCTTTGCAGAAGGAGGGTCATGCAGAGTTTAGCAAGTGAAAGAGGTGTGGACTGTTATTGAACGTGGTGCCTTGTTTGTGCCTTGCAGCCTGCGGAGGCAGTCGGTGACTGGCGTAAGAACATTGAGGACAAGGCTGACAGGAAGAAGATGTTTGAGGCTGCCTAAAGAACTTAACTCTGCTCCTGTAGCTGCTCTGGGCTGTTTATAACTTTTTATTGAATTTCAGGATTTTTTCATTAAATTGAAATACCTTTTGTTTCATTAAATCTGTAAGTTTCAGTCTGCTCTGTTACTGTACATTTATGTAGTGAGTGGTTTAGATCGGTGAAGACCCCTTCATGTCTCATGTAAGAGAGAACACAGTTCTCTGCAGTGTTCCACCTGTTCTGATATTCACTTTTGACAACCTCCTGCTCTTAGTTTTGTAATAAATGTGTTTTTTTTCCTACATCTGCTGTCATGAGATATTTTGTCTTTGACTCAATGATGCAGAACACTGCAGACTAAGCACATGACACACCTTGCTCAAATTTAGTGAAGGATTACAACGTTAAGATTGTTTTTCTGCGACTTTTAACATGAGCTCAGGGTATTCTGTTTCCTCCAACAAACTTTTTTTAAAAACTTAATTAGGAATTTAAAAAAAATCTGGAGCAAAAGTGAAAGTTCTCAATCAAAATCTTGTAGAAGCATCATGATGCAGCTGATTAATGGAACTGAATTTTATTATAACACGAGTTCTGTTTGAAGGATTGCTCTATTGAGGTTGTGTTGTGCTCGCTGTAGTGCTGTGCATGTCAACAAGGGACAAGACACAATATCCATGTTTTCTAGTGCATCAACCCCCTTTCATAAGAAATTAAGAGGAAATGTTCATTAATGCATGTGGCAAGTGGAAAGAAATTGTTTACTGAACATATTAAAATGTTCATTGATATGCTCAGTATGAAACAATTTCACAACACATGGCAACATCATTACCCTGCAGTTTAATCACTAATTAATCACTTATTATTCAACCAAACTGCAACCTTTTTGCTAACCTCAGCCCAAATGCCGTTATTGACTAACCACATGCACTTACTGCGCTGTACAGTACATAAATGTGGCTCAGACATTGCCTCTGAACATAATCTAGTTAGTGATTGCCACTTCAACATCACTGAGACAGCCATTTAGTACGATGTAAAAGTAACATCCGAGGTTGTCATGTGATCAGGGAGCTGTGAAAAGTGAATGTTGAAATGTCCCGTTGTAATTCCCACTCCAAGGATTTAGGAAAATACCTTTTGTTTTCTCCACTGAACTTTTGTTTTCATAGACTTTAGATACAGCCTATGTATTTATATAAAACTCAAGATGCACTGACTAAGACCATTTTCCTTTAGTAATGATAACAGAGCACAATTTGCTGAAACGGACTGTAGGATACAGTCAAAAGCTCTCAAAGGAACCTAAAGTTTTTTAAAACATTATGTATTTCAGAGGTTAACATTGAGTATAATATATACATTGAATATAATACTAATAATAATAGAGATATTTTAATACCATATTATTTTCATATTACATGTTTTTTCTCTGTATTTTCACTCACCTTTCTTAGGACAGCAAATCTCAGTTTCAAACTTTATAGATCTGCATCCAAATATTGTGACAACTTGCCAAAGTGGTACCGATACTTTAAGTTGGGGTTAGGGTTCCTATTTTAACACTGAAGAGGAAAATTTAAACATTAAACAAATGGTTTACAATAAAGCATAATGTAGTTGTACACAGCTATATTGATATTTGAAATGCAAATTAATGTAGTGTTTTAGGTCAGCTTAATTTATTCTATGAAGACATTTTGAATCTTAAATTCTCTCCATTATCCGTTCAATTGTTATCTGATTACTACTACAACATAGTGTGTTCTAAACTATTTAAGAAATGTTTAAATATGTTTGATGTTTATCATTTATTAACTATTTAAAAAGTCAAGTGTTTAAACCTACTCTTCAGTAGAACGATAAATGTCCGTACTGCTTGAGTGTCATCACACCTGTTTGACTAAAGAACCCACAGCAGGGGGGTGAATTATGTTGAGCAGAAAGTTGAGATAACTCAGAGAAAAAATATTCCACTTTGACCACATGGTGCCAGTAGAGGACTTTCTGTTCCACACTTAGTGTCCCACAGTGAACTTACTTACAGGGTTAGGAAATAGTTTGAAGAATGAATTCGTAAACAAATGTACTGAGCAAAACAGGTGATATCTAACACATGAATGTCCTCTGCTGACTTTGTTTTCTCTGATGCAAATTCCTAAAAAAAAAAACAAAAAAAAAAACATATATATATATATTCATTTTGGTATGATTATATAAAATGGACTTATTCAGTCCCACAGAAGGTAAGTCACGTCAATTTAACTTTTTGTATATATAACATTACATGACATTTTACCTTCAGTGTTTAATTTAATTTCCATCTCTTTTGTGTTTTCAGTTCTGAATCTGACATAAACAGAAACAGCTCTGATGGACACAAGTCAAAAGGTAAATCTTTAATATTTCTCTTAGCGCTGATACTATGGCATGGATAGTCTGAATACATTTGGAAGCTGCATAAATGTGGATATTGATGAGGTAAACCATACTTGAAAAAACAAAAAACAAAAAAAACATCTGTCAATATTGGTAATGAAAAGCTCCTAGCTACGAGCACTGTGAGGTTACATGCTTTTTTTATCAGACAACAAGGTGATAAGACCAAGTGCCTCTTGTTGTTGTTTTGCTGACATGTGCTTTTAGTGAATGCTCTAATATATCTGACTTATTAGCAACAAATCACACAGAACTGCCGAACATGAACAGTCTTAAAGCTGTTTGTGAGGTTTAGGTTGTTTTCAGAACACTGAGAGTCTGTTGTTTAAAGGGTCATTTATGAACAAAAACTGGGTTACAGATGTTCAGCAGGTGGCGGAAAGAAAAAAAAAAAACAACCTAAACACCAAACTTAACACTGTTACTGATTAAATTTGAGATAATTAAGCACTGATTAAGTCCATTCTGTAAAGTCCATTACATGAACAACATTAGAAACGTTCCCAACTTTAAGGCCCCTGTTTACTCATGCCTTTTCAGGTGTCTTCTATCTGATGAGATGGAAGTAATTTAGTCAGATCCATAAATCTTTGGACATTGACTCTGTACATCACCACACTGAATTTGAAATTAAACAATCAAGATGTGCTTTAAGTGCAGACTTTGAGCATTAATTTTAGGGTGTTTAAATCCAAATCAGGTGAACGTGGTGGTGTAGAATTAGAACATGTTTTTTATGTACCCTCCACCTTTTTAAGGGACCAAAAGTAATTGGACAAACTATCATAATCATAAATTAAATTGCCACTTTGAATATTCGTTTGTTAATCCTTCGCAGTCAATGACAGCCTGAGATCTCAAACCCATAGACATCTCCAGACGCTGGGTTTTGAACCTGGTGATGCTCTGCCAGGCCTCTACTGCTGCTGTCTTCAGTTCCTGCTTGTTCTTGGGGCATTTTTCCTTCAGTTCTGTCTTCAGAAAGTGAAATAAATGCTCAACTGGATTCAGGTCAGGTGAATGACCCTGCCATTGCAGAACATTCCACTTCTTTGCCTTAAAAATCTTTGGCTGCTTTCTCAGTATGCTTTGGGTTACTGTCCATCTGCACTGTGAATCATTGTCCAACAAGTTCTGGATTATTTGGCTGAATATGAGCAGATAATATTGCTCGAAACAATTCAGAAACGATCCTGCTGCTTTTGCTCACCAGTTGTTCTTTCTTTTTAATTATGTACCAAACAGTTGATTTGGCCACACCTAATGTTTTTGCTACTCTCTGATGGGTTTGTTTAGACTTTTCAGCCTAATGATGGCTTGTTACTCTGACAGCGACAGCTCTTTGGACTTCACCAGATTCCAAATACCACACATAAAATAAACTCCAGGCCTTTTATCTGCTCCTTGTATATGAAATAATGAAGGAATAATAGACGCCTGGCCATGGAACAGATCATCAGTCAAATGTCCAATTACTTTTGCTCCCTTAAAAAGCTGGAGGGCACAAAACAAATGTGTTGTAATTCATACACTGTTCACCTGATTTGGATATAAATCCCATCAAAAATTTAAACTGAAAGTCTGCAATTAAAGCACATCTTTCATTTCAGATCCACTGTCTGTGGTGGTGTACAGTGTTGAAATGCTGAAAATTGTGTCAATGTTCAAATATTTATGGACCTGATTGTAGTTTGCTATTTTTAAATTGTCTGTTGTAGTCGTTGATATTCGATTTTCATACAGCATAGCAGTGGCATCAAACTTTGTAAAGTAAAACACAGTAGTGATATGAGACATTTACAACATCTATGACTTCAAATTACAACTTGGAGGTGGACATAAATCTCTTTACCTGCTCATCTGCATGCATTTACAGACAATAAATGGATAAAGTGTAGCTACTCTCTGTTCCACAAACATTTTAATGTGACATAAATGTAGCATTATCCATTATAATACTGTTCAGACCCCATGCTAGCTGTATGAATGGTGAATAGTCACACTTTTATCTTGGTTATGGTTTAAATGTAAAGAAAAAAAAAAGACCCAGATTTTATATATAATCTATAGAAAAGAAATTAGAAAATGGAACAGACCCTAACGAGCAGAAGTTGGGCGTTTTTGTCTCATCAAATGCTTACAGTACATTAGCTAGCTACTTTTGCTAGGAGTTTAAGGCCATGGACATGTTGCTTCTGCACCTCGTTATGTGTAATTAAAAATCTAAATTATTGGCTAGCTTGTTCTTGTTGCTGTTGACATGTGTATATTATATTTTTTATAGAACAGGGACAGTCAGCATCACCATAGGGTTAGTAAAGTTAGCGAAGCCAAAGGAACAGAAGCTAGCAAATGCTAGTGTTAGCTGTCCTTATGAAGATTTGATATTTGTGCTAATAAACGTATTATTTCTCAACCTGGTTCAACATCTTCTGTTTCAGGCGACATTTAAAATTTAAATGTTACAGATTGTTTTAATGTAACTCTTTTTGGAGTTAAGTTTAAAGACTGTACAGTTTAAATATAAAACTACGAAGCTCTCACTCTGACTACTGTCCAACCAAAGTTTATGTTCCTCTTTAGAAGGACAACGCCCCCTCTTATTTTTGTTCTCACAATATTTCAAAGATTTTTATGAGTTTTCCATTTGGTGAAGTGGACAGAGTGTGTACAATGAAGTTAAGTCTCACTTTTCTTGGATCCTTTTGCAGATCTGTTTACATCTGACTGACATCCCAACCTGTCCCATAGTGTACTGCTGACCACCTCGGATGGACCAGATGCCATTGAAGAAGAATTTATGAGGTGGGTGGTCAAAGGATGAAGGTATTTCAGGAGCTCTTTGGTCTGGTTGGTCTGAAAGTTCCTCATGGCCATAAAGAGGACCTGCTGAATCCCTGTCCAAGGCCATATATACCCCTAGATTCCACTTTTTAGTGTGTGACTCCCTTGCTGTCTCCCAGTCCTTCAGTCAGTCTCTGCTGCCCTCCTCATCGTCCCTTGTAGGTGAGAAACTCTTTTACTTTGTGGATTTAGTGGTTAAAGTGAAGATAATGCTCAGTGTTGAAAAGCTGTAAACTTCTTCGCCTTTTGCTGAATACAGTGATTCAGTTTAACAGCTCCACATGTGACATATCTAAATACCTAAATGTACTGTTTTCATGTCTTAGATTCTTTTTCGGACTACCATTGAGCAGTACAATGCTGTTCTCAAAATTATACCAAAACATAGCTTAATAGGTGTCACATATTCATGGGTGAACACAATCTAATATCTTAAAAACGTAACAAGCTGGGTTGCAAGGTGGATCGGTGGTTAGCACCGTTACCTCGCAGCGAGAACATCCTCGGTTTACGTCCCGGTTAGGATGCCTGGGATATTTCTGCGTGGAGTTTACGTGTTCTAACCATGCAGCATGCCTTCTGTCCGGCTTCCTCCCACAGTCCAAAAACATGTTGAGGTTAACTGGTGATTATAATTATCCGTACATTCTACATTGAAGGTGAAACACAAGTGTCAAGCTACTAAACAGGTTATGGCTTATTCTCTCTATTTTTCTGTATAGCTTAAAGATTCAAAAGCTGCTTACAGATCTAGATACCTTTGGGTGAAAAATAACCCAAATATCACGTTACTGCTGACATGTGAAAGCTGTGAACCTATGAGGTTAAAGGTAAAAACAAGTGATGCAATCACAGATAACGAGCAGCATCTCTACAATATTTCTACATTTCACTGACAGGAACATGACACCTTCAAAATGAATCTTATTCTGTATTTGCATACAATGTTTGTTCTTGCATTTAGCTCTTCTACATCAGATCAGCTAATCTGCTGTAGATGTTACAGCTCTTAAAGAGCTCATCATAAATGTCATTGCTGACCTTTGAACCTGAGCCAGAATTAGCAGTGACCCTATTGGTTCAGGATCCAGGGACCCTGAATAGAGAAATGAGCAAAGACAACACAAGTTGACTAGAAACTGCAGAAGGGCTACAGACCAGAGACATATACATATACATACATATATATATCCTCACAAGGGTCGCAGGGGTGCTCCAGTCTATCCCAGCCGACTCAGGTCGCCAGTCCATTGAGGGCTGCACAGAGACAGACAAGCACATTCACACCTATGGACAATTTAGAATCAGCAATTAAACTCAGCATGTTTTCAGACTGTGGGAAGAAGGTGGAGAACCTGGAGAGAACCCACGCTGCATGGGGAGAAATGCAAACTCCACACAGAAAGATTCCAGGTGTCCTAACTTTGGATCTTGTAGCTGTGAGGTGACGTTGCTTAATACTGAACCACCGTGCAGCCCATATATGAGTAAATTTAAATGTGCATATATTAAATATGCACGTTTCAAGTCAGTCTTGAAGAATTCGAGTCATGATCCTGATGTGAGCTGATGTCTCTCGCCAAAACATCATTAAGACTGTCAACCGCAGAACTTTTCACTCTATGAAAAATAATTGGAATTCAGCTACTGAATTTAAAATCCCATCTACAGCTGTTACTAACATCTAATCTGTATCTGCACAAATGATCTGAACAGTGGAAATTAATTTATGTAGAGTGTAAATACGTGCAGAGCACATTGGGATGGACCACATTAAGAGGTGGTCAGACCCACACTGTGATCAACACGATGAAGGGTCACCATTCTTCCTCTTCTTCCTCGCTTAAGCAGGCCTGGCTGTAGCTATAGGCAGCAGAATCATCTGATATCCATCTGTGACATTGCTTTACGTAGGACACAGCCTGTCACTTCACAAGTTGGCCTGAAGCAGTGTTAACTGAAATACTGAAAGCTTTCCTTGAATGTTTGGTTCGATGTTTAATTTTCTTCCTCTTTGGTCAAACTTTTCCAAACTTGTATCACCCAGTATCATTTTGCCTTTTTTTGTGTGACTAAATTATGGAAACATGATATTGTAATATTGTTTTGCTTCTAGAGCTTAATTTTGGGTCCAATACACAGTGTAAGCTGTCTCATGTTTTTGTCCTTTTTGATTTTTTCTGATTATTACCAGAGTCTGAAACCAACAAGAATTCAAGATGTCTGAGTAAGTAGATGTTTCTTCTGTTTACAATACTGAAATAAACAAACTCTAAGGTGTTCAAAGTGAAGAAGCTTTGAAGAACTAGTATATTGTATTCAGTTACAATCAAAAATCAATTACACCCAATATTTTCTGAAGACATCTGTTAGAGTCTTTTAATGTTGGGATTAAAACATGTTTTTATTCATTTAAGGGGAAAGAAGATGACATCGAGCCGCAGGCATCATCTGAAGGTAAGACTAAACTAGTGCCATTTATTTCCCTAGAAAATAATCATGTCTGCTGTGTGTGGAAATATGTTATCCATTGCTAACATATTGGATAAACAGCTTTCAACTATGATAAATCCCAGCTGATTTTGCTCCCAAGTTAACCAAAATAAATGAATGCAGTTTAAGAAAATATTTTAAAAATCCAGTGTTAACAGTAGTTGTTGTCCTGTAGAGCTTGATACTGCAGATTGCTGCTAACTGGCTGGAGCAGGAAGCTGCTGAAATTGTAGCTGCCAAAGAAGCTTATATGGCAGAGAATTGTCCCGACCCCGACCTGAGCGGAGACATGGCAGCTCTGGCGGTAAAAAAACCCAGCAACACATCATTCAGACTTAATCCCTCGCCTCAATGTGATGGGCTGATACGTCTGTTTTTCATGCAAACAGGAAATCTGTAAAAAGCTGGCCCAGGCTGCTGACAAGGTTGATGAAGAGAGATATGACGCTGAGGCCAAAGTGGAAAAGTCAGACAAAGAGGTACGTCTCTCAGTTGTAGATGCTTTAGTGTGAGCAGTATATGGTTTTGTGCATGTATACCCTGTCTAAAGACTACGTAAACCTTTTCTTTTTGTAACTTTCAACAGATTTTTTTCTACTATAATTAAATCTGGACTCGGTGTGATTAAATGCTAATCGTGTAGTGAAAAAGAAAAGGAGCCAGGTTATTGGCAGAGGGCTATAAAACACCTGTAATGTTTTGATGCCTGGCATATAATGAGGATAAAAATAACTAACTATGACATTCACAATCTACTACTGCACAAACTCTGATACCTACAAGTCAAAATGTTGTGAGTGTGGCACGTGATAGGTGATGGAAGGAGGTCTGACAGTGACGTTGGACATCAGATTACAATACATACTGTCACAGAGGTAATTTTGTCTTCTCCTATTTGAGCTGTTTTTGCTTTCCAGCTCTAAAAATTTAAATTATAGTGAAGCATTGCATCCAGTGGAAACCTAAACGTATTTTCCTGATAATCTAAAGCAGTCGGTGTTGGGCTGACAGCGTTCTCATACTTTTTAAGCTGAACAAATGATGTTAAAAACTGCAGTATTATCACAAAAATACACTAAAATAAAGTTGAAATTGTTAATTGATACAGTATTTTAGGTTTTATGTTCACGCATGTTAAAAACATCTGGTGGAGCTTTCCTGGTAACAAACATGTGCACTATGTTTATATTTCTTGTTATTTGCCAAAATTCATGTTTACCATATGTGTTAACTGTATTTTGTTTATAAAGATTGTTGTGCATGTACAGATCTTGCAAAGGTTAGCTTCATGCTGAACAGCAAGTTGCAGCTGTGACAATCAAACCTACGAAATAGTTACGAATGAATAAACTCCCAATCTAAACATAAGCAGTTTGAAGGATTTGAACAAAATCAAACCAACACTTGCAGTGTTGTGATTAAACACATAAATAAAAAAAGAGTTTCCCACAATCATGTGAAACAACCTGGGTCACCTTACAGGAAGATGACTCACTTGTGTTGCCAGTTGTCACTCAATCGGAGACTCTGTGTGACTGTGTGTATAAGTTTGATTGGTCTTTAAATTTGTGTATTTTTGTTTTTCAGATCGCAGAGTTGAAGCTGAAGGTGGTGGAGCTGGCTGGAGTGAAGAAGCCCGCCCTGAAGAAAGTGCGTATGTCTGCTGACGCCATGCTGCAGGCTCTGCTGGGAGGAAAACACAAGGTGACCATGGACCTGAGGGCCAACCTGAAGCAGGTCAAGAAGGAGGTCAAAGAGGAGGTAAGACCATGTTTTATAACTACTTGATAGACTTTACCTTGGTGTTTGGACGCTGCATTATTGACCTGAACTTGTCTGTCTTTCAGGCTACAGAGGCAGTCGGTGACTGGCGTAAGAACATTGAGGACAAAGCCGACAGGAAGAAGATGTTCGAGACTTCCTAAAGACTTTCTAATCCAACTTTCTGTTTCCTTCCCTCTGGGCTGCTGCAACTGAGGTCTACTGTTACATCTGACCTTTTTCATGGATTTGGAAAAACTTCTATCCATCCATTATCTATACACCGCTTAATCCTCATTAGGGTCATGGGGGGGCTGGAGTCTATCCCAGCTGACTTAGGGTGAAGGCAGGGGACACCCTGGACAGGTAACCAGTCTATCACAGGGCTACACTTAGAGACAGACAACCAAGCTCACTCACATTCACACCTACAGACAATTTAGAATCACCAATTAACCTCAACATGTTTTTGGACTGTGTGGGAGGAAGCCGGAGAACCCGGAGAGTTTGGAAAAACTTGTGCAATTAAATTTTCTTTTTGGAATAAGAATGCTGTGATGCTGGAGTTTATTTGAGACAATGATTAGAGGAAGAAGATTGAACTTTATCATAGATTTGCTTCGATTCTTTTCTGTTAATTTGTGCATCAAGGAAACAACTCATAGATATGCACATCATCATCAGTAGTGAAAAAGTTTCCAAGGTCAAGTAGTCACCGAAGCCTGAATTTAATATACATAGGTTTCTTTTAACACAAGATCAAACTGTAGTGAGCGTTGTGCTCAGATGGAACCACCAGATGTTAGCAGAGAGTCGTTTCCTGCTTAGTTTCTCTGCTGGTTGCTTTTCCTTTCTGCACATATTCTCTCTTTAGTTCCTGCCATGAAAGAGGACTTTCTTGCAAAATATTTTAAATCACAGTGCTCCTCTGTTGCGCTTGGTGATGATCATAAACACAGCTGCCGCCACACAATGTCTACAAATGGTGAGTCACAGTTTTCTTCTTCTCGTATTTTTCTCTCAGTGTTGCATTAAAATTCTCTTCATGTCTTAAAGACTTGATGTACTGTCATGTTAGTAGGCCATGTTTAGTCTGCTGGTGTGTACCGAGGTCTCATGTGAACATAAGTGGTGAATCCGTTTCTTGTCATAATTGATTAAAAACAGAAGCTATGACGACGACAATGTCCGAAAGCCAAAAATGATAAAAGATCGTTGTGTGACAGTGATTATTTGACATGTTTTCTTTATTATTAAGCTAAGTTTGATGCATTGGTATGAAAAGGAACCAACTTATTTCCAAAGTCTACATGGAGAATCTTGAATATATCATAGTTCTTGGTTTACATCTTTAAACTGACTTTCATGTGGAGATAATTATTGAGTCTTTACATTTTCTAATTTTGGCTTGTTTTAAAAGAAACCAAACATGGCTTTTAGAAGACAAACTGCCTTAATCATTCCTGGCCTTCATCCTATCAAAATCAAATGTATGGAAAGAGGGGATTTTAAATTAAAACTGTAGCCTTGAAAGGTTGAATTTGTCTTACTGAACCTTCTGAAGGCTCATTTTAACTGAGTTAGTTTAAAAGACCAACAGCATCTTATAGTTATAAAGGAAACGGAGTCAGTGAGCATTATGTATGTCGTCCACACTGCCTGACTCTTGTGCAACAATCGCCTCTTCATTTGTCACCGAGGGAGTGAACTTGATAGCGTCTGTCCAGCATCCAAGGCAGTTTCCTGCGGCAGAAATTTATGAGGTTCCTCAGAGAGTTGTGTGGTATTTCTGGAGCCTGCCGGCCCATTGGTCTGAAGTGGCTCTGTTACCATAAACAGTGCTGACTTTCCTGCTGAGCCAGCGCTTTACACCCTATATACCCTGTTTAATCTTTACTGTTAGGGACTTGGCAGTGTCTCCCCCCCTTTTCCTCTTCCCTTGCTCGTCCTCGTCACGTTCGGTAGGTAAGAGTCTCTCCTGCGGCTCGGCTTTAGTCGCTCCATCAGGGAAAAACACACACTGTACTCCGGTTGACAGGTGGGACTTCAGTTTATTCTGCAGTGATGCTTTTAAGTGTTTTTTAAAGGTGCTGCTGAAGGTGTGACCTCTGACCTCAGAGGCTGCGCTAAGAGTCAGAATCACAGAAATCAGATCAGAGAATTGTTGGACGTGTTGAAGGACACATTCTGCATCATGGCGAAAACGACTGGACGTACAGAAAGTTTGGATTCTGGCGCGACAAGACTTGTATTGAAAATTAAGTTTGCCATGAATTGGATTGGATGGTGCTGCTGACACTTTTGTGATTAGAGTTTTAAAACAATATCCATATTAGTTTTACCAGCTTGGAGTTTGAATATTTAAAGCTCAATGTCTCAAATCTGGGGACAGATACAGTTTTTTTCTAAACAATTTTATACATTTTTCTGATATTACAGATCTCAGAATTATTAATGTAATTCACTGAGAAAAATTTGGCACTAAAATAATTGGAGAAAGGAATTTCCGTGATGAAAGACTTTAATTTATGTACATGTACATATTCAAATGTCATCCTTCATGTATGTTAAATTGCTTGCTTGCCTGTTGACACATTTCACTTTGTTTTGCATGTTTAGGTGACCAACAGAGCACTGACTAAAAGACGAAGCAATTATTTGGATTTTTTGGACTATCATTCACACATTTTTGTCACAAAGGACTTCTTTTGTGTGAGATCTGATATGGGATTGGTGTTGTTCCTTTCTGGCTGCAGAGGGATGACTATTTATTCAGGGTTCATGTGAAAATAGACCTTTGTCTTCATACATTTTTATCGTGTCTGATACTTTATATTGTGATCCAAACGTGTTCCTGAGCTCTGCTTGGTGTCAGCCGCTGTTTTACATGCCTGCGGGATGTTGGAATTGGTGTTAACTGCTCTCACCACATGCTTGGCGCCACATTTGGTTCCTTTGCTGGTGGCATTTCGTGCTCAGATCTTTGGCTCACTGTAACAACTTAAATTCCAGGCAGAATGTCTGCAGAGGGTGCAACTGTTGAGTGCCATAGCGCTGGTATCCAACCCCACCCTTCCAAAATTAGCTGGTTTGTGATAGCTGGAAGACAGTTTTTCATGATAGTGAAGTGTATCGTCTTTCCTGCTGGAGGTCAAAGGCTAGCTGATCGATAACAGGGAGGCAACGAGACGTGTCCAGTTCAGTTGTGGACAGAGTCGGTGTGCTTTCTGTGAGCTGTCTGCTTAACGGAGTGTTTTCTCTCTCTGAACAGGGTGTGAACATCACAAACAGCCAAAATGTCTGAGTAAGTAACATTTTCTTGTTCTTCTTTTTCATTTTAGACATTGTAGACATTTTAGACTCTTAGCTCGTTAGGCTCAGGTCATTATTTCACAGGTCTGTTGTGAATCATTTCCCAGGTAGTAGATTGTAGATCCTCGATATGGTTTAAAAGTATGTTTGTTTGTAACTTAAATAAACTGATAATCAAGTCAGACACCTGATCACAAAGTCAGTTCCTGAATAACTTTGATGTGGGTCTTAATACGATGTGTAGATCTTCTGTCTAGAGGTTTGAGCATCTGTCTGACCCAACCTCTAACATAATCCCTTTGAGCCTTTTATCATTGTCAAGGGTGATCATTCATAAAATGCATGGATCCAATTCATTAGGATTCATCCTCTGGTCAACATGAATTTCACCTCACTTTAATTTACTACAGTCAGTTTCGTAGTTGTTGAGGTTTTTGAGTGTGGACATGCTGCTGCTGGGCTCCGAGAGCTTTCTAAACTGATTTGAACACATGTGAAGGCCCCGGTTCAGGTTGAAGGTCATCGCTGACAGCAACTGTACATGTTGCTCTTATGTGGGAGCAGAAATAGACAGACAGTCGCTCTATTTTCTTTTACAATAAAAAAAAAACAAGATTTGAATCTTACTACAGCAAGACAAATGGATTAGCACTGACAGCCCTGACTATTTAAGTGGTTAAATACATGAATCATTCATCTGAGACAAGTTTTTTTAAATTTTTTTAAATGTAATTAATCATTCTTGGGTCATTTTTTAAAAAAAATAAGTAGCTTGACGTTTACATTTATCTATCTTGGTGGCTCAGTTTGGAAAATATGAGTGTGAGAATATGGGAGGCAGATGAGATGGTTTCATATCTGGGTGCTAAATTTGATGCTACACTAGAAGCAAATTAGCCAGAAGGATTGGAAATGGGGACAACACAGTTTAAAGGTAACAAAATCCACCGACAAGCATTTTTGTGCTGTGCTTGTTGTAATTTATTGTTTAAGCCTTAAGAAAACCAACAGTAAAAATGACAATTTGTGCTCTTCGACGGCTATTTCTTAACACATCCTACGTGTTAATTTGTGATATTTAGTGGTGCTGGAAGGTGGATTGTCTGAGCAAAGTCAGTCAGTACCAACTGTTTCCAATCTGCTCAAAATGCTAAAATGTAAAGAAAAAGTAAAGAGCAGGGAGCCCAGTAGCTCAACAGGTTGACCCATAACAGTGGCAGTAGGTGTGAATTTACTGTAGGTCCTTCCCCCATGCATCTCCCTACTTCCGTGTCTTCCTTTTGCACTTACCTGTCCAATAAGGGCAAAAAGATTTTTAAAAATGTGTCCATGCAGCCAAGCTATTACACGATAAAACCTCGTCATTAGTCCTGATGACAGCTGTCTGATCTTCATGTAACAGGGGAAAGAAAATGACGTCTAGCCGCAGGCATCATCTGAAGGTGAGAAAAAAACTTTCTTTTCAACAAAGCTTTGGTGTCTTGCTTGTGTGAATTTTGCACATTAATGTTTTCTTGTCCCCACAGAGTTTGATGCTGCAGATCGCTGCCAACTGGATTGAGCAGGAGAAAAAGGATATCGAAGCTGCGAAGGAGGCTTACATGGCTGAGAACTGCCCACCTCCTGACCTCAGTGGAGACCAGAACGCCCTCATGGTGAGTCCAAAACTCAGTTTTTGACACTAAACCTGGTGCTCAGTGCCACTTCTTTCATTCTTAGTTAGAAAAAAAAAAAAGAAAAGAAAGAAAAAAGCTGTAGCTGTAGCTGTAACACGTGGAGCAGCTTCCTGAAAAAAGGAATGCAGAGAATCACAGGACAGTGTTTCAGCATTATCGTAATGTTTGAAGCTCCAGCTTGAGGTTTAATATGTGAAAAAAAGTGAGGTTATGGTTTCACTCTGACATTTTCTTGCAGTACCCACAAAACCTTCTTACACAACATGAACTAAATCAAATGTGGTCTCTGTCATAAACATAGTAATGACGTTGTATCAATGTTTTGAACATTAGTCTTTTATGCAGGATTAAAGATTTTGAAATATTTCCAAATTCGTTAAATAATTTCACATTTATCCTGAGCTGGAAGAAGTTGAAGTAAAACTATCAATGCCACACTGTGAAACATATTCCTTCCAAGTTTAAAAGTGCTTGTTGTGCAAAATAGAACAACTGAGGGTGGTTCAACATGACTTTATTGTTATTACTAATACATGAGGGACCTGTGAACATTTACATGCTGTTACAGAATGACGCTTTCTCATATTTTCTCAGATCTCAAACTGATCAAATGTTTTGTGTTTACAATCTACAGTAACATACACTAAAGCCACTCAAGTACTGTCAAACTGTACATAAGTACTTGAGTAAATGTACCTCCAACTTGACACTGAGAGCTGAAGGGATGTGTTTGTTCTTGGCACCAACAGGAACTCTGCAAGAAGCTCAGCCAGGCCATCGACAAGATCGACGAGGCGAGGTACGACGCCGAGGCCAAAGTTCAGAAGAGCGACACAGAGGTGAATGAGACAAACTGTTTGTCACTGATTTGATTTTGTAAGCAAATGTCCACATATCGTTTTGAGTCAACTTAATCAGCTGTGGAACAAACTTTCTTGATTCTAAATGTGTTTATATACCTAATGAGTGGCCTGTACACAAACATAGTTGAAGTAGGTGAATCATATGGTGGCAGATTAGTCACTTGGTTTCATGAGCTCTCAAGAGTGAATGTTTTCTTAACTCAGAGAAGAGTATGGGGAGTAATTAGAAAGCACAAACTCACGATATTAAACACCAATTTGAAAGAAAACTTCCACATTTTTGAGGGAAAACTGTGAAGCGCAGTAATAATGATTAATAATGATGTGTGCTGTTGCTCTTTTTTTGTTGTTGCTGTTGTTGTTTTTGGTTTTTTTAGGTCTCCTCTTACTTAAATATAAATCTATGATTGTTAAAGGAAATATCTATTTGCTGTACCTGTGGAGTAGTGAGAGTGCCAAATTACAAAAATAAATCAACAAAAGAATACAAAAAAAAAGTAGAAATAAAAAGACGAATAAATTTAATATTTTTTAGTTTTTGTTTTATTTTTTTAATTTTTTAAAATAGTTTTTATTTTATTTTTAGATTATTTAAGTTATTTTATTTTTTTTATTTTTTTGGTTTTTGCTTTTAAAGCGACATTTGTTTTAATTAAATTTTTTATTTCCACTTTTATTTTCTTATTCTTTTATTGATTTATTTTTGTAATGAGGCACTCTCGCTACTCCATATGTACCATCCACGACAGTCACTCTTACAACAGTCTTTGTGCATTTGTGAAGATGCAACAACGCATCAGCTGTACGGGTTAGAAAAATATGTTAATGGATTAATAAATGCTTTTGCTCTTACAGTGCACATTCCAGATGAAGGTACACTTAGGGACACTCATTTTGGAATCTTTATATACTTCAGATGCATTATTTCACAACACTGTCTGAGCTTTTTTCTTTGGTCCTGTCCAGAGCTGAGGATCTGTGGAAAGATGTACACAAAGACATGGGGTGCATAGTTTAGTTTTTTATTTAGTATTGGCTGTAATTTTATACTTGAAGTGATGATGTCAAAAGAGATGAGTTTCTGATTTGATTTTTTTGTTTTACAAAGGATGGATATAAATGACCACTTAACATATTGAAAGTCTAACATATAAAATGACAGGTTATATTTCATAGCACGAGAAATGATGGATGAAGTTAGTTTAACTTAACCTGTAATGAGAAAATATTTATTTCTGTAAGTACCTGAGTAATTTTTAAAGAATATGTTGTTAGATAATGAATTAATAAAGAGGTTTTAATGAGCTAGAGTTAGCACAACTGGCTAATTTTTATCTGCTGACATTCTTTTCAAAAAGCAGCCCAAAATTTAAAAAAAATAAAAAAACAAAAAAAACATACCATCATCAACACAAGCAGATGTGTTGTGAAATGTTGCTTTAGCAAAACGTTAAAGATAATCACTAGTTATCTGTTTGATTATTCCTTTATTCAAAGTGTTGTTGAACTTCTGACCGACAAACTTTTCTCTGTGTCCAGATTGATGATCTGAAGCTGAAGGTGGTGGAGCTGGCTGGAGTGAAGAAGCCCGCCCTGAAGAAAGTGCGTATGTCTGCTGACGCCATGCTGCAGGCTCTGCTGGGAGGAAAACACAAGGTGACCATGGACCTGAGGGCCAACCTGAAGCAGGTCAAGAAGGAGGTGAAAGAGGAGGTGAGGAATGAGGTTTTCATAATAACTGTGTCAGGAAAGGTCTTGTCCACAGTAACATTTAGGTTTTGTTGAATCTTAAACTGATACAGGTTGATGTTCCACTAAATTCAACTTTTTCCCAAAAAGAAATCACATAGAGCACAGAAACTGACTTAATGTCAAAGCTTGAAGGCAAATTCAGTGACTAAACCTGTTAACATTGATTTGACTACTGGGGCTAAGTTTGCAGGTCTCTCCTGATCCACCTTTTCATTACAGTCCCTCACATTAGGCCAAAGAGCTCAGTGTTACACAAATGTTGTTTCTCTGATGCTAACAAATTAAATTGGATGATTTTATTGTTTTGTTGGTGATAAAACAGAAATATCTAGTCAATTTAAGAGATCCTTCAGTGATGAGGAATTGGTTGTTAGTTTTGTACATCCCTTGTCCTGTATGGCAGTATTGTATCTCATGCTTTGAATTGTAGATAATTCCATTTTTGTTTTCTAATTTATGGAAGCGAATTTCTAATTTACAGCAATACAAAAATAAAAATAACAATGTCAATGACAGTAATTATACAATAACAGTGTTAATTTTTGGTTATAGAGCACCTCTTAAAACCCAAAACTATATATCTAATTTTCTCCTTGACAATTCAATTATCATTCCAAAGTTTTTCTTTTTCCTTTTTTCAGTTTATAAATCCTTTTCACCGTCTACTACTGATAGCTGGTATCCAAAGCTGTAAATGTA